ACGCTGCAAGTCCAAGGACGAGATGTCAATGGCGCACCATTGCCTCCAACAGCATTTGTCCGTAACCAAGCCCATCGAACCGAGGCAGCGTCGCGTTTCAGAGGTCAACGCCGACGTCGTGCAGTAGTGCCTGCGGGTAGAAATGTTCGTAACCGACGAACGATTGGTCCTCCTCTTTCATTTAGATATTTGGATATCATACATTATGCTACATCGTCAGGTGTCCCTCCGTGCCTAACGCAAACTCTGCTGTTTCATTCATGAACATATACACAATGGCCGATTTGCTCCAGTAAGTGGGACACCCCGCACGTTCGACCTCACATCATCTTGTTTCGAAGAAGTGATAAAGATAGAAATTGTACAAAAAATAAAATCTGGAATAAAACCCCCGACTCGAACTCGGGACGTTTGGGTTACGATCCTGACGCGCTACCACTGAGCTAATGTTACATTATAATGTACACTGAAACATATTCCTTAATAGATATCGATAGTGTACAAGTCAGTTCCCGATAATTCATGCCGCGGACCGAGCCATGAAGTCATGGTCAAGGCATGCTTCATTGGAGCACACGAAGCTAAAGAGCGAACCAACGAACATTTCAGTACAGCAATATCAAGTTTAATGAGTTAATCGTCAACCCTATTTGCCCTACGTGTACTAGTCTTCATCGTTGTGGACGAGGTCGGCCCTCGCAGTGCTGCATACAACCTTATTGCTGTAGTCCCTATGCATTGGCTTTCGGCGTCAAGCATCACTTGAAGCGCGACATTTGGAGATGACTGGTGTCTAGGACCTGGCGCAGCGAACGATGTCAACAGAGTTCGACGCATGTATGATCCGACATGCCTCAATCTCCATCGTCATCGTTCGCTGCGCAAATAGCGCGATCTCTACACCCAGTCGCCACCAAACATCGCAAGTTACCACTACAACACAAAATCAGAGACTGGCATTGATGATTATATAGATAAAAGTTCTGAATGGTACCTCTTCCCGGTCGGAATCTATTGGATAGGCTCGAACAGTATTCACAGCCAACGTGCATTTGCACCATCTTGTGGTTATAGTGGCGACAAAGATCGCGCATGTGGAGCAATTTCCATGGAGATCGTGCCATGGTGGATCCATCCTTGGAGGACCCCCTTGGACACGGCTCAACATGCGCGATCGATATCGACCATCATTGCCACGTCACCTCGCTGCGCGCGCAACAGGTAGTACAGTGCCCGCCACATGGATAGAAACAAAAACATTTTGCCGGATAGTTCTCGTCCAATCACGATTTACAACAAACCAAAAGTCGCAAACGAATCCT